GTTCTTGTGACTGACTTCTCCAGACAGTTAAACTTTTCCAGGAAATAGCTCTTTTTGTATATGTTAGAGAACTGTAGCAAGCTCAAAATAATCCTGTGGGTTGTATTGCAGTCACTGAAGAAACTGAATCATGCCAATGTGATAAAGCTAAAAGAAGTTATCCGAGAAAATGATCATCTTTATTTTGTGTTTGAGTATATGAAAGAAAATTTGTATCAATTAATGAAGGACAGGTATGTCTGCTTTTAAAACTTAATATGATCTAAGGTTGTATCATACCAGTGTGTTTGGCTAACAGCGACACATTTTTCTGTTGTGGGGAATGGAAGGGAAAGGTATTGTAAGCTGCTCTGAGACTCCTTTGGGTAGTGAAGGTCGGGGTATAAATCCAATCTTCCTCCTTGTCTGCAATGAACCATCAGCCGGCACAAGAGCCTCTTGAGTCTGTTGTTTTATACAGTTTACTTGATAATGTGAGCTCTTTCACAATATTCTATATGTTGCATTGTCTTTATAAATGGAAGGCTTATAAATAAAAAATAAAATGTTCGTACTTGGGCTAGAGTATGAAAGAAATTAGTGGTGGCACAGAGGATTTATCCTCTGGTTACAGTAACATCTGAACTGAACAGTCGGCGAGCACAGGCTAGTACTAGTGGGCCAGGCACCAGGCTTCTGTTGTTATTAACGATGGTAGTGGTGGTGGTGGCTCCTAGTTAAAGGCCTGGTGGAAGAGCTCCGTCTTGCAGGCCCTGCAGAACTGTAAAAGATCTTGCAGGGCCCTGATCTCTTCCGGGAGCTCATTCCACCAGTATGGAGCCGCCACTGAAAAGGCTCTCGCTCTGGTCATAGCTAGCCTGGCATCCTTGGGACCTGGAAAGGCCAATCGATTTTGCTTCCCTGACTGAAGTGCTCTCTGGGGTATATATGGGGAAAGGCGGTCCCTCAGGTATGTTGGATCCTGGCCATAAAGGGCTTTAAAGGTAAGAACCAGCACCTTGAAGCGAATCCGGTATGCTATTGGCAGCCCCTATGAATCATTGTTAGTCCCGTGTGAATATGTGTAACTAAATCGCTCAGAGCCAGCAGCTCTGCAGGATTGAGCGATTAATAAATCAAAAGATATTACTATTATTACTTTTCATCCACAGCAGTTCCATTGAGAATTGAGCTATTCTTGTTGATATAGCAGATTTCAAATTACTTACCTAGTAATCAGATCTATAGTGGGTGTTCTGGTGATGTCCAGTTTCTTGCTGTGTGAGTTCGTGACTTCTTGCTCACCTGTTTGGCTTGTGTGTATTCTGCTCTTGTTGGCCATACATATCATGTTTCAGTAGGGTGTATAAAATCTAATGGGCATTGGCCAAATTTCTTGACTGACTCCCAGGTTGCACATGGGATATTTATTTATTTATTTATTTATTTCTTGAACTTGTACCCCGCCCTCCCCGCCAAAGCAGGCTCAGGGCGGCTAACATCATAAAAACATGCTGACAATAAATATCACAACCATCTAAAAACCATTCATAAAACAATTCCATATCATTTCATTACAGCAGTTTACAATTAAAGTGCTAGCAATTAAGTTATGAAATCAAGATGGCCTCATAGAGTCAATAAATTCACTTGATATTTAGCTCAATGATCTTTCTCAGTTTTGGTCGGTGAGCACAGGCTAGTGCTAGTGGACCAGGCACCAGGCTTCTGTTGTTATTAACGATGGTAGTGGTGGCGGCGGCTCCTTGTTAAAGGCCTGGTGGAAGAGCCCCGTCTTCCAGGCCCTGCGGAACTGTAAAAGGTCCCACAGGGCCCTGATCTCTTCCGGGAGCTCATTCCACCAGTATGGAGCCGCCACTGAAAAGGCTCTCGCTCTGGTCATAGCTAGCCTGGCATCCTTGGGACCTGGAAAGGCCAATCGATTTTGCTTCCCTGACTGAAGTGCTCTCTGGGGTATATATGGGGAAAGGCGGTCCCTCAGGTATGTTGGATCCTGGCCATAAAGGGCTTTAAAGGTAAGAACCAGCACCTTGAAGCGAATCCGGTATGCTATTGGCAGCCAGTGCAATGTCTTTAGGGCAGGCTGGATGTGTTTCCTCATGGGGAGACCCATCAGGAGCCTAGCCGCAGCATTTTGCACTAGATGCAGCTTCCGGATTTGTGACAAGGGCAGCCCTAAGTAGAAAGTGTTACAGTAGTCTAATCTCGAGGTGACCATCGCATGGATCACTGTTGCTAGATCGTTGCGTTCGAGGAAGGGAACCAGTTGCCTAATCAGCCAAAGATGGTAAAAGGCTGACTTGGCAGTGGCTGCTACCTGGGCCTCCATTGTTAAGGAGGCATCCAGGAGCACTCCCAGGCTCCTAACCTCCGGCGCTGGCACCAATGGCGCCCCATCGAAGATCGGGAGTGTGATCCCTACCCCCGAACCACCCCGACTCAAGCATGGGACCTCCGTCTTCGTCGGATTCAATTTCAGTCGGCTCAGTCTAAGCCAACCAGCCACGGCCTGTAATGCCCAGTCCAGATCTTCCCGGTTGGAGTCAGATCGGCCGCCCAACATCAGATAGAGCTGGGTGTCATCCGCATACTGGTGACATCCCAGCCCAAACCTCCAGGCAATCTGGGCAAGGGGGCACATATAGATGTTAAATAACATCGGGGACAGCACTGCCCCTTGAGGCACTCCACATTCTAGTGGGTACCTCTGGGAGAGCTGATCCCCTAACGCCACCCTTTGTCCCCGACCATGGAGAAAGGAGACAAGCCATTGCACTCCTTTCTGTACTCCTATGTCGGCGAGGCGGTGGACCAGTAACTGATGGCCGACTGTGTTGAACGCCGCCGACAGGTCCAACAACAACAGTACCGCCGACCCGGCCAAATCCAGATGCCTCCAAAGATCATCTGTGAGGGCGACCAGTGCTGTCTCCGTCCCATGTCTCAGGTGAAAACTGGACTGGAAGGGATCTATATTGGTTGTTCTGCTCAGGCCTGTAGGTGCTGGATTTTATGTGCTCATGCCCTATTCAAATGTTATAACAGTGTGCTAAGGTCTGCTGTGAGCCCACACCTTTGCAGCAAGGGAGGAAGCTGTTATTTTCGTTCACTATGTGATTATATTCAGGAAGACTTGTTTTACTTTTTTACTTTTTCTTTTACAAGAACCCTTTCTTTTGGTCTGTCAAGCTGTAAAGTGATGCCCTCTTATATTTTTTTGGGGAAACCTGCTTTATTAACATGCAGAGCCTTAGTTTGTATTAAAATACGTAATTCTGAATTTGTTTCCTTGCAGAAATAAGTTGTTCCCAGAGTCTGTCATCAGAAACATTATGTATCAGATATTGCAAGGACTAGCTTTTATCCATAAACATGGTACGTCTCTTGCTACATTGTTTTTTCTGAGCAAAGCTAGAAATTACAGGCAGTGTATTTGTAACTGGAAAAGGTCTAATTTGCATTATGTTGTGCCAGTGGACTAACTGAGGAATAAAACTGCTGTCTCGTTTTATACTGTCCTCTGAAACAGATCCACACCAAAGTTCATTAAAATAAAGATATAATTAAAATATAGCCAGTCTAGTTGGAAGTTCTTATTTTTTGGTAGCCTATTTAGAAATATTTTACGAGTTTTGGTTTTCAGCATAAGATTTTTTATTTCTTGCTATAAGATGTTCATCTCTGCATTTTGTTTCTTTTTACAGTAAGACAAAATTCTGATCACCAGCCCAAGATTTTAGCTATTAAGCCTTATTCTTTAAAGTCCGTGTCAGGCTCAAAAGTCAAAGGAGAGGATCTCTGTGTTTTCCAGTAGATTTCTGAAAGCAAAGTCGGTACGGTGATCAGATTTTTTCATTATTTTGCCCTTCTCTGTATTTACATTGACAGGTTTTTTCCACCGGGATATGAAGCCAGAAAACCTGCTCTGTATGGGTCCAGAACTTGTTAAAATAGCTGATTTTGGACTGGCTAGAGAGCTAAGATCTCAGCCCCCATATACTGATTATGTTTCTACCAGGTGGTGAGTATATTATTCAACAAGGCTTTCACATGCCATTTATATCTGAACCCAAATGCACTCAATTGTTTCTGTCATCCCAGGTATCGGGCACCTGAGGTTTTGCTGAGATCTTCGGTTTATAGTTCCCCTATTGATATATGGGCGGTTGGCAGCATAATGGCTGAACTATATACATTAAGACCCCTTTTCCCGGGAACAAGTGAAGTTGATGAAATCTTCAAAATTTGCCAAGTGTTAGGAACCCCAAAGAAGGTGAGTTGTTTTGTGAATATATAATGTTATAATTGGTGGGAATAAGACTATTTCATTCGCTCATAACCTGTCTTTCCTCCCCAGTGGGGACACTAAATGGTTTCCATGGCCCAGTGGGGATCCAGACCTGAGTCCTTGTCCCGCACACTAACCACTTTACTGCACTGACCAAGTGGTTTGGATGTTGAGGCAGCCCCTGCCAGCTCTACATGTGTGAACTGCGTGGGATGGGTTTTCTTTGCCAGAGAACACTCTTTTGATCCCCATGCGATTTGTGTAGTGATGACGTGTCCACTGTCCCTTGATCCCAATCTGATCTGAAAAGAAATAAGTGACACGTCCGTAGTTTTGAATAGTGAAATATAGAGCTGGGTGTTGTCTGGGTATTGGTAACACCCAATCCCAAAGCTCTGGACAGTCTCATTCAGCGGCTATACATAATGGGTGAGAGAACAGAACCCACAAGATAAATTCCACTCAGTTGATTCTGTACCTCCAGTGGAGACTTTATAGCCGGCCAGACAGAAAACAGCGAAACCACGCCCTGACCTGGAGAGCCCAGGCAAGCCCACTCTTGTCAGATCTCAGAAGCTAAGCGGGGCCGACCCTTGCAAGTATTTGGATGGGAGACCTCCGGAGAATACCAGGGCCGGGAGGCCAGAGGCAGGCGATCAAGCCACTTCTCTGAATATCCTCCGTACCCAGTAGGAGTCGTCAGAGGTCGCCATGACTTCCAGGCACGGGCATGCACGTGCACACACACACACACACACACACACAATGCAAAATATACAAAAAGAAAAAAGAAAGAAAGAAAACAGTGAAACCACCAAAGGGCTACACCCTTGATACCAGTTCCATTTTCAAGCCAGGGAGACATGGTTGCCCCCGCCAACTGGTATTGACATGAAGATTCCGTTTAGCCATCCTGAATAACAGACATTGATGGGTCTTGTTTTTCATGAATGGGGTTTAATTCTTTTTAAAGCAGCAGCCATCAACTACCCTGTGGCAATGAGTTCCACAAGCTACTTATACATTGTGTGAAAAAAGTACTTTATTTTATCTGTGTTTACATTTAAAAAGTTGTCTTGCTACTTCTCCCCAGTACATACAATTTTACAAACGTCTGCCTTGTTCTCCCTTAGCTATCTTCCCCTCCCCCCTAAATTGGAAAGCTCCAGATGAGCTTTACTCTTTTTCATGGGGTTTGGCTCTTCTTGGGCTGTTCTTGGCAATTGCAGATTCCAGTTTTGCTCTAATGGTAGACTAGGGTGGTACCAGGGGAGCCTTGTAGACTTGCAATAAGGGTTAAAGAGTGCAGCAGACTATTGCAGGAGAACTGTTGGGACGGTGGTGAATTAAAAGTATTTGATGAAGTTTTCCATAGTGATCAGTCTGGGGTGGAGGTGTTGGGTAGGTAGGTACAGTTCTTTCAGTGGTGTTTTCTACAGGTGGGCAGGCTTGTGTATTTTCCCCATAGCTTCTGATACAGCAACGGGGCTTCCACATTTTGCTTTAAAGATTACTTTGTGTATGTCTCCTGATAGAACGATTGGCCAGAAGGGTACCAGCTTGCGGCGGCGATGAACTTCCGCTTCCCCCAGTGCGTCTCCATAAACTTAAAGACTCTAATCCCAAATGCTAGCAATGAAGCGATCCAGCTTATGAATGAAATGCTGAACTGGGATCCAAAGAGACGACCGACAGCAAGTCGGGTACGTAAGCCATGTCATAACAGCCGTGGGCGAATTTCATATCGAACCACACTGTGAACAGCGGAGAACCCTGAGCGGGGAAAATGTTTTTGTGTAAGCTAGTTCTGTAAAGAATAAAATATAAATGGTTAACACTTGAAATATAAATGCTGATCTATTCACCCACATTATTGAGATTGCAGTCTGCCAGAAACAGACGGTAGTTGAGTTGATGGATTTCCAAGTCAGAGATGCCGTCGTAACTTAAGGAAAGCTTTGTAGACTGGTTGTGATAAACTCTTGTCAGTGCGATACTTCACAGGAGAAGGACCCCCCCCCCAAAAAAATAGATTTCCTATAAATTTTATAACAAGGGTTGAATCTCAGCAAGACGAAAATGATTCTGTGTGGGAGTCCTGTTGTCAGTTGGATGTATATTGCCCTCTCTTGTGGCCTAAGCTTCCTTCTGAGCCTTCCACTTCTGGTGTATCAGTTGGTGGCAGCCGTGCCCAGAAGTGCTTTTTAGCACCAGCGTCTGACATGATGATAGGGATCATTGTTGAAAGATTCTGGGTGTCTATCGACAGCAGGAGACACCCAGAATCTTGCAACAAGGATCCATGTCCTAACTTCAAAGGGTGATTACTGTAATGTGGGCGCTGCCCCTGGAAATAATTCAGAAGCTTTAACTGTTACAAAACATCACAGCCCAGCAGTTTTAGACAAGTGAGGACACACGCGATGAATTCCGTGTCGACTGCGTTAGCTGCTGAATGTCTAGGCTCAGTTTTAGATGCTTATTCTTCCCTTCGTGGTCTGGGCTGACATGTCTTCCTTTTATCGGGTGAGGGGAGCCCACTTGCCTTTAAGAACTGTAGTCCATGTGTTTTTCCATTGGGCAGATTAAACTGTCACAGTACAAATTAGTAGTTTCCCTTGATTTTGCAGCATGATCTCCCCAAAGAGGCATGCTGGCCTCCAGAGACCTTGTTTTTCAAGGCCTTTGGATAGGGCAGGAGAGAGGTGGCGGTGTTGTTTTTTTTGCCATCAAGTCACAGCTGATTTATGGTGACCCCGTAGGGTTTTCAAGGCAAGAGACGTTCGGAGATGGTTTGCCTGCCTCTGCGTCATGACCCTGGTATTCCTTGGAGGTCTCCCATCTGAATATTAGCCTGGGCTGACCCTGATTCGTTTCCGAGACCTGATGAGACCGGGCTAGCTCAGCCTATGCAGATCTGGGCAGAGAGGAATTAGTATCTGCCTACCTCACTCCGGCACTTCTTGGTGTTTTTGTCTACATTGGAGTGTGCTTTCCCTTTTCTTCCCCCTTCAGGCGCTGAAGTTGCCCTACTTCCAAGTTGGCCAAGTTTTAGGACCACCTCCGCAATATCTGGACCAGAAACAGCCACATTCTAAGTTAATCCAGCCGACAGAGCCAAAGCCATCTCTATCCAAGCTAGAACCTCTATCAAAATTAGAATCGATATCTAAGCCAGAATCTCAGATGTCACCAAATGCGCCTGACAGATTTCAGCTGCAGCCTCTACTGAAGAATAACTCACAGCCCCTCCAGCCAATTCAGCTCCCACAGAACTCAACCAACCAGCAACCGTCAAAGCAACAGCAATCGTTCTTTCCAGCCATCAATAAAAACGCATCACCAGTAAGTTGGCTTCAAGACACTTTACCTCTGAATCAGTCAAGGTGTAGCGGCACAATTGCAATTCAAATCATGCTGAGAGTCTGTGTGTTTGTTGATACTAGGAGACTGTGTCACAAATGGGAAAGCAATTGTGTTGCATTTGCAAATGTGTTTTCTTAACTCATTGTCTGCTATCTTCGTCTTTCTCTATGCCCCTAACCTGCTTTTCCCTCTCTCTGAACCACTACAGATCTCGAAGATCTTCTCTCTGTTAATTCTCCCTATTTTTCTCTCTCCCCTTCACAGCACCTTCTCTTTCTGCATCCCACAGCATTTTCTGTCTGTGTGCCCCCTTGGTTACACCTATTTCACAGTCTATTCCTTTCTTCATTCTGTTTTTGCTCAGTTTCTGTCCTGTAGCTCTCTCAGCAGTTCACATGGTGACGGTGTTTAGAGCTCAGGCCATTCAGTGTAGTTTGCTAGCTGCCATAGGATGAAACAGTTGGCATGAACTTCACCCATGCTTAGAAATCCATGGCGCTGAATGGTAATACAGGAGGCAATGGATTATAACTTACAGATACAATCAGACTTTAAAGCACTGCAGCTAACATTTCTTTATTATTCTATAGAGATCATAGAATCATAGAATGTTAGAGTTGGAAGGGGCCTGGCAGGTCATCTAGTCCAACTCTGCAGGAGCATAGCCGAAAGATAGCCCTGCAACATACCCTAAAGATGGTCATCCAGCCTCCACTTGAAAACATCCAGCGAAGGAGCATCCACTACCTCCCAAGGCAGTCTATTCCACTGCTCAACCAGTCTTACAGTTAGGAAGTTTCTCCTGATATTTAGCTGGTATCGACTCCCTTGTAATTTCCACCCATTAGATCTAGTCTTGCAATTCGGAACAAGTGAAAATAGATCTGTTCCATCTTCTACATGACAGCCCTTCAGATACGTGAAGACTGCAATCATGTCCCCTCTAAGCCTTCTCTTTCCCAGTCTTTTTCAGCCTTTCCTCATAAGACTTGGATTCCAACCCTCTCACCATCCTGGTTGCCCTCTTCTGGACATGTTCGAGCTTGTCAATATCCTTCCTAAATGTGGTGCCCAAAACTGACACAGTACTCCAGGTGAAGCCTGACCATAGCAGAATAGAGCAGAACTACCACCTCCCGTGCTCTGGACACAATGCATTTGTTAATGCATCCTAAGACTGCATTAGCTTTCTTCGCAGTCGCATCGCACTGCAGGCTCATGTTTAGCTTGTGAACAACCAGAACACCTAGATTCCTTTCATATGTGCTGCTGTCAAGCCAAGTTCCTCCCATTCTATATCGGTGCCTTTGATTTTTTGTACCTAAGTGTAAGACTTTGCACTTATCTCTATCTAGCCTATCTAGATAATTTTGAATCCTGACTCTGTCTTCTTCGGAATTAGCAATCCCACCCAGCTTCGTGTCATCTGCAAATTTAATAAGCATCCCCTCTATGTCTTCCTCCAGGTCATTTATAAAAAATTGAACAACACCGGTTTTAGGACCAAGCCCTGTGGCATTCCACTGGAGACTGCCCTCCACGTAGACGCAGAGACATTTATGAGCACTCGGGTACGATTTTTCAACCAACCTTGAATCCATCCAACGGTTGCACCATCCAGCCCACACTTAACCAGCTTATCCTCAAGGATATCATGTGAAACTTTGTCAAATGCTTTACTGAAATCTAGATACACTATATCCACAGCATTGCCAGAGTCAACCATTTTAGTAACTCTATCAAAAAAGGAGATAAGGTTGGTCTGGCATGGCTTATTCTTGATAAACCCATGCTGGCTACTACCAGTTAACTCATTCTGTTCACGGTGTTCATAGACAGAGCGTTTAATAATCTGCTCTAGAATTTTTCCAGGTATTGATGTCAAACTGACAGGCCTGTAATTTCCTGGGTCCATCTTTTTTCCTCTTCTTGAAGATGGGGACAACATTCGCTCTTCTCCAGTCTTCTGGCACAACACCAGTACTCCAGGACATCTAAAAGATTAGAGCCAGAGGCTCTGAAATAACATCTGCAATTTCTTTTAGCACCCTGGGATGCAAGCCATCCAGCCCTGGAGATTTGAAAGCTAGATGCTCTCTAATCATTTCTTTACATACTTTGGACTGGCAGTTTCTGCTTTCTTCATATGCCCTGCATTCTTCAGTTTGCATACAGCTCGCCTTACGGTTAAAGACTGACGCAAAGTGAGAGTTGAGTAATTCTGCTTTGTCTTCATCCCTTGTTAAGGCTTGACCATCTTCCCCTAGCAATGAGCTTACCCCATCCCTGTTCTTCTTTTTGCTCCGAACATAGGCATAGGCATTTTTCTTGTTATTTTTAGCATCCCTCACAAGCCTCAGCTCCATCTGTGCTTTAGCCTTTCTGACACCATCCCTACAGATTTGAGCCTGCTTCTTGTACTCACCCTCAGTAATTTGACCCTCCTTCCATTTCCTGTGCATTTCCCTTTTTAGTCTTGGCTCTTTAGAGAGTTCCTTGTTCAGCCTTGGCTTCATTACCCGTCTCCCACCTTTTTTTCTTACCGGAACAGTTTGCGATTGTGCCTTAAGCACTTCATTTTTCAGCATCACCCATCCTTCCTGTGCAGATGATTATGAAGATATTATTGTAAGGTGATATGTGGGTGCCAGTTTCTACGGATTGTGATGTTATTGCCTGTTATAATACAAGCGCTTAGACTTTTTGAACACAGGATTAAACTGTATCCCAATTTATCCAATTTTGTTGGGATAAGTTAAAAGCCATTGATTGCGCTTTGCCAGCATATCACCTCACGTCAGTCCTTGTGGTGACACATGGAAACCTCGGGGAAAGCAGAACACCAAGACACAAAGCAAACAAGGATTTATTAAATGTTGCCTTGTACTGTCTCCAGTGAGCCCATAGTAGTGTATTTTATTTATTTATCTGCCAGATTTATATTCCGCCCTCCCCAGAAATGGACTCAGGGTGGATCACAGGGCCAGTTGGCATCAAAATATAAACACATTAATAGTCAGTTAAAAACGATAATTTAAAAACATACCCTTCTCTTATTTCTAATAAGAATTCAAACCAGCCATGCCAGTCTGCAGTCTAGCGCACTAATCTGGAAGCAAGCTGTACTGAGCACAATGGAATTTACAAGCAAAAAGGCATAAATATTTACAAGCAAACACATATACTTACTGGGGAGGAAGTCCAGTTGAACTCAGCGTGACTTACATTTGAACAGTCATGCATAGGGCCTGTCTGGATATCACTGCACATCGTATGATTCTTCTTGCCTCCGTTTACCCTTACAATCTTATTGCGGTACATTAGGCTGAAAGACTGGCTGGACCAAGGCTACCTAGTGAGATTCATGGCAGTTAGGATGCCTGGGGGGAGGGGTCCTTCTGACTTTAAATAAGGGGGTGGTGGTCAAAGATACATGGCTGCAGTGGTTTTACGGAGGGGAGGGTGGGCGCTAACACTGACACTGTTCAGCAAATGGGGGAGATAAACAGCCAAAGTTGATGGCCTCCATCACCTGGATGTAGCTCTGGTTCCAGATTTCCCGCCCTGAAGCGCAGCCATACGCCAGATCTCTTATTTTGAGACCACAACTCTTTCTCTTATTGTTCGAAGTAGCTTCTTGGCAGTGAATGAGTCGGCCCCAATTAAAACCTTGAATACCTTGGTTTCAGTTATCATTGTAAATTGTGCTGCCTTCTTAGAGGAAACTACTCTGTTTTGCTTGAGGGGCCACCCTATTCCTTGAAATGATTTTTCCTTCCTGTTTTCAGTGAACGCTGTATTAGGTCAGGTAAATGAGGGGGAAATTAGGTCAAAGACCGAAAAGCAAGCTTTAGGTCCATCCTTTCACACCAGATTCTCTTCTTGCAGTGCCTAATCCAGGAGTTCCCAATATTTTTGAATCTCTGGGCACCTTTGGCATTCTGACACAGGGTGAGGGGCGCGGTCACGAAATGGCTACTACAGGAGGTCAGGGAGTGACCTCTAACAATGCTCCATTTCAGACAGAAGCTTCATTTAACAGGATGCCTTTCAAAATGAACATATCGTATAAAAATGTTTTCTTACCTGTACACATTTAGCCTTCAGTCACACAGTTAGATCTTTGTGTTCCGTCTTCTGTGCTCAGCAATTCCTCTACCTTGTTTTATTTGAGGAACTTCATTTCTATGATTTTTAGCGCAGTTGTAGAAAGTATTAAACTGATCAGAGAATTATTTAAAATAATTCTGCATTCCAGACCTCTGTTAGATTGACAAGCATTTCCAAGTGCTTTTTTGGGATGGGATGAGCAAAAGTATAATATGGTCCTAGAAATAACATAGCCTTTCTGTAATCCATCCAGAAGCAAACAGCCATAGGACCTTCAAATGGGGCAGTGGGCCTGAAAAATTGTCGGCGACGATGGGGTCAGACTGTATTAAAGACTATGGATAGTTGGGATGATTTTGAGGATGCAGAATTTGGAATTTCGTATTCTAAGAAACCCAGCATTGCAACAGTGAATGAAAAGAAAACAAAGGAATCTCTCTTTAGGTAAGGCTCTCTTCCCCTCTTCCAAGTAGTTTATCAGCTGTGCCAAATAAAAAACTGAATCCACCCATGTAAATGATCATATAGAATGGGAACCTGTAGTCTGAGAAGGAATTATTTGAGCAGTATTATAATATTTGTACACATGCTAACAGCGCATTGAAGTTAATATTTGACACCAGATTCAGGTGAGTAGCCATGTTGTTCTGAAGCAACAGAACAAAGTTCTAGTTCAGTGGCACTTAAAAAAATTTTTAATCTAAATTTTATTAATTTTTTGAAACAAAAACAACATCCTCAATAACGCAGTCTCTACCAAAAAAAAATATATATAACATTTCTTTGACAAACCTGAACGTGACTAAAAACATAAAAAATATAATACAGTGTAATAGATTTTGTCCCTTAATAAAAGAAAAAAAGAGAAAAATTGGCTACAAATGCATTACATTTAGATAAAAATGTATAAACTTGGTTATAATAACTTTTTGCAATATTCTTACATCAAGTTGTTAAAAACAAATACGTTGTATTTTAACATTAATTATATAACATTAACTTATATTGAACATTTCTTATTGATTCCCAATCAAATCTATTGATATTAACTTTATCTAAGATAGGGTACCAAATATTGAGCAGACTCATAATTTCACATTCTGTTTGGTGTTCCGTATAGAAAATATTAAAATTTTCTAATAAAAATAAATCCCATACTTTGTGCAACCATTGTTGAGCATCTGGTGGGTGTTGATTCTTCCATTGTTTGGCTATAACAATTTTTGCTGCCGTAAAGAGAATATTAATCAAATTTCTATTGGGGGTTACAGGAAATTCTTTTGGCCATAAATTTAGTAAAATCAAAGCAGGATCAAGTGGTATCTTGCTTCCTGTTAGTATTTTAATCTTATGTAAAATTGAAATCCAAAATTTGTTTATATATGTACATGACCACCAACAATGTAATTAAGATGATGAAGAAGAAAGGTGTCTGTTGTGGGGAGAGGAAGGGAAGAAGACTGTAAGCCGCTCTGAGACTCCGAGTGAAGGGGGAGGGTATAAGTCCAGTCTCTCCTCTTCTTCTTTTTAATGGGAGTCGTGTAGCAGGGGAGGCTTTTGCAACAATGTGCGTACACCTTGCACTGTAATTGTGCTGGTGTGCATGGCACAGTGCAGCAATTGAGGGTTGGTGGCATATGGGCAGGCATCCGATCCGTGTTTATTGCAAAGGTATCAAATATAAACTGCAAGTTACCTTACTTTATTCTCAAGTGATTCTGGCTCTCATTCTGCATGTGGAGCGTATCTCACATATCTGGCAAAGTGAGCTTTGACTCCTGAAAGCTTACACTCTGGGAAACGCTGTTGATTTTCTGTGTGCTACTGGACTTGAATGTTGTTCTACTACAGACTAGTGTGGCTACCCACCTGAAACCCCACAAACCTTGAATATGTGCCTCACTGCCTAGGTAGCCAACCACATGAGCTGTTGCTCCTCCTTCATCCCTTTAAAAAAAAAAATCTACTGAAAAGTGTCCAGTGGTACATTGACACACTTGCCGAGCAACACAATTGCACTAAAAAACGAATGTGAGTCACCTCGTATACAAATGACACATTTTATGTCTGGAGCACAAGAGAAAGCGCCCACCCCATGGTGAAACTGTTCAGATCCATAAAAGAGTGTCCCTGTGCTACATAATGACCCTGCGCTACATACTGTAAGATGTGAGTTAGATGTGAATATTCCCTCACAAGCAAAGAAGAACCTATATGCAGAAAACCAGCGTGTCTTAGAAGACGGTCGGCTAGAACCACTCTATCTGACATCTTATTTTCTATGTATGAGGAATTACAAGGAGTGGGATGGGAGTATTCTACCATTTGCAGTTTTGAAACAGCAGAAGCCGAGAGCAGTTTTGATGTTTGAGAGCATTTTAGATAAAAGCAGAAGAGGCAAAGGCAGGCTGGCTCTGTCTACCACTACTGTGATCACTGCCTCTAGACCGACTGGATATTTTAAAGATGGTTTTTATTCACTGTTAAATTTGTATCCTTCCCTTCTGCAAGGTACGTGGAGTTACTTAGTTGCCAAAATTAGAAATTTAACACTGTCAATAGTTACAACATATCTAAGGAAAAATATATCAGTACCATCAGAACTAAAGAACCCCATCAGAAGCTGAAAACATTTCTCTATATTCCTTTTTGTATCAGAAGTGCAGTATGAATTGCTCTGATTCGGGTTCCTAACACGTTTGCACTGATTCCTGTGTGACTTAAATGTCTGCACTGTGGATAAAACGTGCACTAAGTTACCTTTGCTTCTGCAACAAATGGATATGCAGACAACCCCCAAGTCGAGCAGAAATCTCTCTTGTTTTAATATACGTTCTCTTCACTTTCAGTGTTCCTAAATCCCCTACATCAGGCCCACCAGGTGGAGAAAACAAAGTTCTGAAGAGAAATGACTCTGGGATATCTACTACATCAGCGAAACAGTACTACCTTAAGCAGTCAAGATACATACCTGGTAAAAGGGGGTGGGGTGAACTGCATAATACTTTTACTTCACTTGTTCACTTTTTGTGTGTGGCTATTTTCAGGGGTCTTTTCGTAGAAAAAGAGCTGCAGGAGCTCATTAGCATAATAGCTCATTAGCATATGCGACGCCCCCTGACATCACTGGAAGTGATGTCAGAAGGGGAAGAAAAGGGGGGGCATCTTCAAAAGCTTCCCCTTCCCTTCCCCAGCCGACCTGCGGGAGGGGGGAAGCGAAGAGAGAAGGGGTTTAAAGTTTAACCCCCTTCTCACTAGAGTTGGGCCGCAGAACGAGGAAAGAGGGAAGGAAAGAGAGAGAGAGAGGAGAAAGAAGAAAAGAAGGAAGGAAAGAGGGAAAGAAAGAGAAGGAAAGAAGGAAGGAAAGGGGGGACAAAAAGAGAGAAGGAAAGAACAAGGGAAAGAAAGTGAGAGAAGGGAAGAACATAAGAACATAAGAGAAGCCAATGTTGAATCAGGCCAATGGCCCATCTAGTCCAACACTCTGTCACACAGTGGACAAAAATACCAGGTGCCATCAGGAGGTACAGCAGTGGGGCCAGGACACTAGATGCCCACCCACTGTGGGGCCAGGACACTAGAAGCCCACCCTCCCAGCACCAAGAATACAGTGCATCACTTGCCCCAGCCTGAGAGTTCCTATCTATACCTTGTGGCTAACAGCCACTGATGGACTTCTGCTCCATAGATAAACATATTGGATAAACACATATTGGATAAACACAAATTGGATAAACACAATTCCCCCTTGAAGCCGTCCACGCTTGTAGCCACCACCACCTCCTGTGGCAGTGAATCCCATGTGTGAATCACTCTTTGGGTGAAGAAGTACTTCCTTTTATCCGTTCTAACCCGACCGCTCAGCAATTTCATGGAGTGCCCACGAGTTCTTGTATTGTGAGAAAGGGAGAAAAGTACTTTTTCTCACACCCTACCTGATGCTTTGCCCCTCCCCCCCCCCACGGCAGACCCGTGCCAAGATTTGTGCTTGCTGCAAAACTTGTAGATCAACTTCACAACTAGCCAAGCTTCTTATCTCTCAATAAGATGCATACCTACATGCAAGGACATGAGTCACTTACAAAATCAAAATGGCCAGTTGGTAACTGGGGTTGCCAGGTACTCTCTGGCTGCTGTTGGTGGGTGGGTGGGGGTTAGGGTTGCCAGTTCCAGGCTGGGGAACTCCTGGAGATTTGGGGGTGGAACCTAGGGAGGGCAGGGATCTCAGTGGGGTAAAATGCCATAGAGTCCACCCTCCAAAGCATCCATTTGCCCTAAAGTTTGGAGATGAGATGTAATTCCAGGGCATCCCCAGGTTCCATCTGGAAGACGGCAACCCTGTTAACTGAAATGGAAATTGGGCCTTGGGAACACTCACACACGCACACAGCAGGCACGGGCCATTTAAATTTTATCTGAGCTCCCCACCCATCTCAAATCAGAAGAATGAGATACAGTGCAATGGCATTTTGTATTCCAGAATAAGAAAGCCATGCCAGGTCTTTGTCACTGCATCACACAGAGAAAAGGAACTGTAACATCTGGGACATCACTAGTATGAGCAAATCTGATCAGCTTTTAAAAAGAAATATATTTAAAGCATGCAAAGATGTTTGCCAAAAAGGGGAAAAGATATTAACGTTTCATTCTAAGTCAAGGATGGCTTCGGCAGACTACATCAGCCACTTCTTCAAAGCACAGTCAGAAACGCCTTATATTTATTTCGAACAAGGGGAAAATCTAAATTGTCTCAAGGAAAAAATAAACCTTCCTCTGACACAAGGTCAGAAATTAAAACATGAGAAGCAGCGTATTATTTAAAGGAAAGCATGGATCCCTCACTTACTGCAGCACTCCAGCGTGGGCAACAGGCCTCCTCGGGCCTTCCCGGGGCCGCAGCACTCCAGCATGGGCCCCAGGATGCCGACGATGGGCCTCCTCGGGCTCTCCTGGGGCCGCAGCGCTCCAGCGTGGGCCCCGGAACAATGATGACGGGTCTCCTCAGGCCTTCCGAGGGTCATAGCGCTCCAGCGCGAGCCCCAGGACTCCAACAACGGGCCTCCTCGGGCTCTCCTGGGGCTGCAGTGCTCCAGCGCGGGCCCTGGGACTCTGACAACAGGCCTCCTTGGGCTCTTTTGGGGCCGCAGCGCTCCAGCGCAGGCCCCAGGAGGCCAACAACGGGCCTCCTCGGGCTCTCACAGGGCCGTAGTGCTCCAGTGTGGGGCCCCGGGTCTCCGACAACGGGCCTCCTCGGGCTCTCCCAGGGCTGCAGCGCTCCAGCGTGGGCCCTGGGACGCCCATGACGGGACTCCTCAGGCCTTCCCGGGGCCACAGCACTCCAGCCCGGGTCCGAAAGGCCAACGATGGGCCGCAGCGTGGGGAGCTGGGGGCGGGGCTCGCTGCCACTGCCATTTGTGCCAGCTCCTGGGCTGCTGGAGCAGTGCTCCGGTGCGCTCCAGCCCCAAAAGACCCCTGACTGTTGTACAGTGGAGCTTTTTCTGTTAGCATGCACAGTACAACAGAGAATGCATATGTCAAGGGTGAAGGGAGAGGTTGCTTGCCAAAGGCCTTTAGCAGTAGTGAAACTGCATGTCAGTATGGACAGTTCAGACAACCGGGCCTCTAGCTCCATATGTTTCTGTATGACTTTGGACTTGTGGATATTTGCCAAACAGCAGTCTTTCATAAAGTGCTAGTTTTGAAATGCAGAGGAACATCATGGCTCAGCCTTTACAAAGGCAAAGCTGGAAGTCCCTAGTTTCTAATATAGGTCTCTGAATTGTGGTTATGGCTTAGGTGGTGGCAGGCCCATAGCCAGGATTTTGTGGGTTGTGGGGCAATTTTTTTTTTCTGATGGGGCTGCCATTATTTTTATGTCAGCTCCAGTCCACCCCCAAGCCTGACAGCCGGCAGCCACCCCTCTCCATCTCCTCCTGCAAGATTTAAAGGGCCCTCGAACTGATTGGTGGGGAGCCTGTGGCCTGTCGATCAGCTGGAGGGCCCTTTAGATCTAGCAGGAGGGAGAGAGAGGGGCACACGCCATCCCCCGTTTCTTCTCAGAAGCATTTAAAGGATCCCTTTAAATGCTTTTGAGAAGAAAGGGGGGGGACGTATGTGCGACTCCCTGATTCTTCTCAAAAAAATTCTATTAAAAACACTTGGGGGGCTGGTCCTTCAAGGAAGGGGTGGAGCCCCCAATAGTCCCACTGCAGCTACGGGCCAGGGTGGTTGGAGTGCCTGCGCCTGATCCAACATTGGCGTCTCTTATGTTCTTATGTTCTTATTACCAGGCAGTTGAGACCTGGGAGAGCCGCTGCCAGGCACAGTACCGCTCTAGATACACCAACACTCAGAGGCATAAATCAGCCTCTGGTGGAGTCATTTTCAGTTTCCATAGCCAGGAGAACTGGCCAGAGTCAAGGTTATTTTTTTTGTGCTTTAACCTTCTTGCTGATGGCCTCTGTTTTGGAGAACTGACGGTGTGTTGTCTCGAAGCACAGTCCACGAACACATGCACACACACATGAAAAGTACATTCTTTACATGTGCACCTGACTACAGTGTGTAGCTTTATGTCTCCATTTCCTGTTTCAGCAGCTCTCAACATGAAAAACTGGTTTATCACAGTAAAGAACCTTGCACTTATTTACACATATTGTTTGGGAGTACTGCCACTTTTGAATAGTGAAGAGAGTGGGGCACACATGGATGAATGGATTGCTGCCCCTGTGGGTTGGATCCAGATTAAATTTTCCAGTGGCAGAATTAGAGATGTAAAATTTCCGGAAATTTTGAAGCTCGGAAAAAAACCCGTTTTTTCCCCAGGTTTTTTTTTAAAAAAATGAAAATTTTTGGAAAAATTGAAAAAAATGCTACATTAGCATTTCTTTTGTCTTTTCTAGCTTGAAAGTCATTCTGTTACTTTAGGAACATAAAATATGACTATGGACATTTTTACTTGGCATGAAATTATCACAACTAGCATATTAAAAATATAGTGTATCCAAACAATTATTACAAACAGAATACCCACC